CCTGCCCACAATAGAATGCTTTACTTGCAGAGACAGGAGAGGTCATTCTTTCTTCTCTAGAAATCCTGGTTAAGGATCAAGTAAATGAAAAAGAGGAAAGCTTTACTTTACCATTTAAAGTTAAGAAAGCAAGACTGGAAAACAGGGAGGTTACCTTTTCATCTGTAAACTGAACAATTATGACAGGGTAAGGTCTTCTGCTATTACATAAACATAGAGCCTACCCAAGTTGTTAAGGTGTTTCAGCCATTTGTGTAATTTGGGATCCACTTCTTCCAGCTCACTCAGCACATGGATAAAACCCCGTGTTTTTACTCTGTTTTTTTCCTGAATTAAGTAGCTGATGAGCTGCTCCATCACTTCATGCGGCATGCTACTAGTTTTGGAATATGATGTGTAATCCTCCTCACTGATTACAAACCATGAAAGTAATTCCTTTAATAGTTTGGAAGTATCATGAACAGCTGTTTTTATTTGCTCAGCATTTCGACTGATATGCTGCAGGACTCGATCACCAGCATATAAGTCCTGAACATAACCTATAATGGGATTTAAAAAACAAACAAACAAACAAACAACACAAGATTTCATGCCTGTTTATCACAATTAAAAACATCAACTTTAAAGTATAGATAGTTTAGACTAAGTGGTGTTTTTAATTATTTGCTTCATCACAACACTGAAAATTACAAAATATATAACTTTCCATACAAACTAGCCTCAGCATTATGAATTTGACACAACATTGTTTTAAATTTAGTTCACACAAAGAAACAATCCTTAGCATCTTTACTAGATTTCAGAAAGAAGAAAAAAAAAAAGTTACCTGCCAGTAATAGTAGCTTCAAGCAATTGTCTATACAGATTTATCTGATGCAGAGATAGAATTCCCCCAAGCATCAGGTCTCAGAGCAAAGGCTCACTTTGGAATGCCCAAGCTACACCTAGTAGCAAACCTTTGCCCTGACCCTGCCACTGGTTGTTTATAGAATAAGATTGCTGGTTCATATCAGCCTTCACCTTTCATTATTCTTCAAGACCAGACATTTATCGAATGTCACTCTCAGATCTTAACTGACAGCAACCATAGTCAAAAGATGTAAATCTGAAAAGAATTTTTTTTAAAAACAAAGCACTACATATTACACCTAGAATAATTAAGCATTGTAACACAAACAGTTCCAAGCATGCTAACAGATTCAATGAACTCTACAGGTATAAGCCATGCCTAGAGTTTATCCTGGAGTCCGCACTAAAAACCTCTGTATCTTACAAGTGTGCATACAAAAAAGTGCTCCTCTCATCTCTCTCCCCAATTTGCAAGCAGATTTGTTCTCATTTAAAGGTAGCTACGGCTGCTAATAAAACAAAACAAAAAACCTCTTCGTGATCTAGCTCTCCCCTGCAATAGGCCTCTCAACCTCTCAAGGCAGCTTGGGAGATTAAATTAGATGTTCTTTTGAAAAATTTCCTCACAAAGTTTCCCCAAGCAAAAAACCAGGGTAATAGATAGCTTGTCTCCAAAGACATGCAAGACTTCAATTTTATTACGAAATTCACTCAGGACAAATTAAAAAGGTCAGCCAACACCAACACACAGATTTTTGCAGAACTGTGTTAAAGTTCCTGCATCAGTGTCCCAACTTTTACCCGCAGTACTGCAGGGTGAGTGTTTTTGTCACACTAAAGGCATTTTCAGTTCCTAGAGGTTTTAAGTTTGGGACAGTCAAGTCACATCAAAGGGAGTGAGTGACCTGCAACGGATCCAAGGACCAGAACTAAAGATAAGCCATAGGAAAGGAGATAGATTAGACTTAAAAAGAAAAACAAACAAAAAAACAACAACACAAGATCAACTGACTGTTATTTTAGACAGCCACACGGAAGGAAAAATAGTATTCGATGGTGCTAACAGAAGGGACTGCTCTCAAATAAAATGATTGAGAGAAAAAACCCAAACTAAACACAGAGTGTTTCATACAAAGGCCAGGATATGCCATTGAACAGGCAACAGGGTTCTGGAGAACTCCAAGTATGCATGTATGGGATAAAAAAGTGCCTGCAAAGTGTTTAATATGAAATTCTACAAGGAAATTAACATAAGCACTATTTTAAAGTTAGTAATATGACAAAAATGAAAAAAAAAAAAATTACAAAAGAGACCCACTTTTGTTTGCATTGTAGCTTGTTCTAATACAAAATGCAGTGGAAGTTCACATCTCAAATACACAACACTGCAGATCAACATAACTGGAACACAAGAGTTGAAGCATTAACTAACTACGTACTTACAGGTTAAAGTATCTTCCCCAATCCTCTGAAACATACATTTCAAGTCACTGCAGTTTCTGCAGTAAGGATATTGTTCTTTCTTTATCTGAGATGCAGTTATTTTTTCCTGTAGCAGTGTCCTAACTGGTTGGGCATAAAGCTTTTTCTGAAACCACTTTTAAATAGATTAACTTGGAATTTGAGCCTTTGCCCTCTTCAGGCTGCTTCTTCATGAACCAATGAAGCATGAATAAAGGTTTTCTACAAGGAACTCAACCATACACTAACATCTTACAGTTATTTAGAAATTAAAACCAGAACTGCAATAAAAGTTATCTTAAGTAAAAGTGCAAGTCTTTAACGGGGTGTGATGTTCAATGTTAGTATTCTGTTATAATTTCATTTAGGACATTTAGAATGCTATTTATGCTACCTCGTGATAATTTAGAATGAGAACTTATACTTCCACATACCACTGTGATCACTGTATTGAGATGGTTCATCTCCCATCTGGTTTTCTTCTATTTTCTTTTTAGCAGAATTCCGTGCCTCTTCTCGTGCACGCTTTCTTCGTAATTTTTTTTCTTGTTTCATTCTTAACTTCCTAAGACTTAAAAAGGCAATTAAGGGGTGAGCCTAATGTTATTTGAGGTAAGTTGCCAAAGGAGTTAGGCACATCTAAGTTGTTCTCCATGTCTTACAATAGCTATAAGCTCCATTCTACTATAAAATATTATGCTGAAAAGTACAAATATAATAAAGCTAGTTTTCTTTTAGAAGTTAACAGACCACAAAATTTCATAAAAGTTTAATTAAAAACTAAGTATGTAAGAGTAAGGATATCCTCAAGACACAATAATTTTTACTCTCATTAATGATGTCTGAATTAAGATTAACTGAAATACTATCAGTTTTTTTCCTTAATTTATAACTCAGTATTTCGAACGACATAACAACATCTGGATTTCCTTAACTTTTAAAAATCAATTTTGTTTATCCTCTCAGCATGATTCCTCATTATTTATAACCTTACTTGACCAAAAAGTGTAAACTCAGTTATGTCAAAGGTATGTGCATCAACAACTGAAATAGCATTGTTATATGCAGGTTTTATTTACACTTTCTAAACATTCACACAAAGTTGGTTAGATAGTAAATGCTGTGGGACAGTGGCATTGAACCTATGCCACACAGCAATACCCCTCCCATCCAGCTAAAAAGCTTCCTGAGTTTCTTCCCTCTAGCAACTGGAAGGAATAGAACAACACTTGCAGTCTCAGACTGAATATAGAGGCAGTACTCTAATCTAGATATACTTGCAGTGAAAGTCAAGTGTAATTAAGACACTCAATCCATTAAGAAGAATATCAGACACCCACTCTTTTAGCATTCCAATTGTTAAGTATCAGCACAAATGAAAGACACGTATGGAGAGCAAAGGCAAAGAAGTAGTCCTCAAGTTCTGCACACAACCTCCAAATCACACTTTCCCCAAATAACACGTTAGTTCCATGCCCGCAGATTTCACAATGAAATCAGGTTTCAAGTATAAAGACTTAAAGATGACCACAGTGATTTATATTCAAAAACTATTCAAATTGCTGGGAAGTCAATGGTACAATGGACAATTTATCTCTCAATAAAGAGGTTTGGAAAATCAGATTTGCATCAACTAATATGCTATATATTTGAAAACAGTTTCCTGTAACCAAACTGAAAATATTGCTTTTAAAGAACTGTATGACTACTAGAGAGCTACCAATATGTTATTCAGCAAATATTCAGTAAATGCCCTCCTGTGCTCTGTAGCTACAGTCTGTAGCTCTGTATCTTCTTTTACAAGTTAATTTAAATGCTTTTATAATTGGATCATAATATATTTTACCAGACAGTTTCTCAGAGGCAAAGGGCAAGAATAGTTTTCCAAAGCATTTATGGTATTTTAGCAATTCTTAAAAAGGCATGAAAACCAATCTTAGAGAAATCTGTTTTGTTCTCAAATTGATTCAACTTAGTTTTAAGTAGTAGAGAGCTTACCTTGTACATTTCTGTTTAATACTGGCTCTTGGTGGTTCCTTGGGTTTTGTGATTTTTTGTTCAAACTACCAAAATAAGTGACATCATATTAATTAAATTGAGGTTAGAATGCAACATTGTTGTACTCAAAACCCAAGGCCATTTGAAGCTTTGGAAAGCAGTAAGAGTAATACTACAAAAGAGATAATGCAGCCCACATAAGCCTCAGGAAGGTCTACCTAAAATTATCTTCTACTGCTACAACTTGGTATATAGCAACATATGTTTATCCACAGAGAAGACAGGTTGAAAGATAACACAAAGTCAGGAAGAACTGGAGGCTGTTTTGCTTTACCAGTGGGCAGGAAGCAAACTTTATAATTTATTTTTTTTTTTCCACTTCTCATAGATCAATACTGCTCTGGAAAGAAGTATCCATCTTCCTGTGACTCTATAGAGGGTAAGAGCACTCTTGCAATACAGTTATTTCATTCAGCAAGATTAGCTCCAAGTTAAACTAACAGCTCCTTTCATGTCACATATGCTAAATATAAAACGAAGCTCCAGTTCTCATCCATGACAATTCTAACCAATACCATAAAGTAATGCCTGCTCCACCAGAAGAGGTAAGAAGAGAACAGGTAATTAATATTCCTAAATAATGCTCAGATTCTGTAGTTAAGACAGCATATTACTTATGAGTTCACAGTTATAGTCTCATCTTCACTTTATCTCCATTACCAGGGTAAATATTTTAAATATTATTTTCATATTCTATGTGAACGTTTACTTACTTCACATTTTACCAGACCAGAAGAACTGAAAATAACTATTTTTGAAATAAGGCCTGTACAATCAGGAGTGAAACACAATTCTTGAAGAAAATCCTGTAGGAGAAAGTGATAGACACAACAAATAGACTTAAATTCACACAAACTCTACGTTCATATACAGATTACAGTTTCTTAATTTGAGGTGACCAGGGTTATTCAAGCTAGCACAGTCCTAAACTCTTACTGGATGAGGAAAACAAGTGACAGCTGACTTGGCAAGGACTGCAAGTCAAAAGGATCCTAGATCTGTGGCATATACCTGTTATTCCCAAAGCTATAGCAAAGCCCCTCTTCATCCAACTTCACGTTCAAGCGTAAACTTTAAGAATATTCTTTTACGAGTTCATACTCTGCCAGGATTTCCCTTCATTTTATACTGGCTGCTGATGCTGTATTTTGTAAAGTTCCTCTAGATATATTCCACATCGAACTGTTGCTTCAACAGCAAGACTATAGAAGGAATAACACTCCCATACAGAAGGACATAAATGATACAAGATAAAGAGGCTAAGCATAGCAAGCTTCACACAGACAGGCCTTTTTTCTGTAGACAACAGCAAGCTTTACCCACACTCACATGCCAGACAATTTAGCAAAAGAATCCTCTTTCCTGTCTCTCCTCCTGCTGTTATCATGCAGGTAGAACATCAGGCTGTATCACTGAACTTATCAAACTAAAGGAATGCTATTATCTTGACTAAAAAAAAATATGCTTATAATCTGACACAGCTCTTACCTTATCATTTTTATCACTGTAGTTTGTTGTTTTCAACTTTTTCCAACAGCTGATATGAAATTCCACTCTACATTGCTGACAGCAAGTAATACGTATAAAACCCTAATATTGAGAAAAAGTATGAATTTAACATCTTGAAATAACCAAAACCAAACCAGAAAACAGTGCACAACTTTGCAGTAGCTAGGATAACATGGTATGTTCCAGATAGCTCTTTAATATGAAAGGGGGCAGAAAACATGTAAACATGAAGCTTTATTTCCCAAACCCTTTTAAACTAAAAATTTACCTTAAAATCTGGGTCTGAAAAAAATATTTGGATTTTGGAGTGGCCATGGCATTGCTGATATCGACAAATTGCATCTGGTTCTGGAGGGAACTTGCATTCCTCAATACAATTCTTTAAAATCAACTGAGAAACACAACACCATATAAGACAAATTGCACAGAAACCAAGAAAAGATTCGATATCTACTTACAAATATCTAGGGAAATCAGCAGTGAAACACACATCTCTTTTTGAACAGCACAAGACTAATACCGAAAGAACAACTCTTTTTCCAGTGAAAGCTATGGAAGATTGTCCTTTTATGGCAAAATATTCAAAAACTCATTTGCACTGCTAAGTATTCATAGCTTCCCTGCACGCAGGTTGTCCTGGTTTCAGCAGGGACAGAGTTAATTTTCTTTCTCACAGCTGGTATAGTGCTGTGTTTTGTATTTAGGAGGAGAATAGTGTTGATAACACACTGATGTTTGTAGTTGTTGCCAAGCAGTCAAGGACACAACTTCTCATTCTGCCCTGTCAACAAGAAGGCGGGGGTGCGGTGGGGTGGGAGGGTGGTGGGGGCGCGCAAGAAGCTGGGAGGGGACACAGCCAGGGAATGGGACAGGAGGTGGCACAGCTCAGGAACTAGCTGAGCATCATGTTAAATTAGCGAGCAATTGTGTGATGCATCACTTGTTTTATATATTCTTTTATCA